CTTAGTAGATTTTTCAGTTTATTTTGTTATATGTGTTTCATATAATTTTACAATTTATTATCTGTATGTCAGAAAAAAATTTGAAGAAAATTAATTAATTTGATAACATTTGGTTTGGTAGTTGTCCAACCGATATTTATTTAACTAATATATGCAAATACAATACTGCTACATTTTGGTGTATGTAAGTATATATTCGGTATGTTAGTTGCATATATGGTATCTAATAAATATGTATAAAATCACTCACTCTATATGAAATGGGTAAAAAACAGTTTGTGCAAATACGGTGAGCGTTCTGCGTATACGGTAAGCTGCAAATATGGTAAGTTGTCTGCAAATACGGTAGGCCGTAAATACGGTAAGCTACTTGTAAATACGGTAAGCTGTATATACGGTATATTGCATATACGGTATGCTTAAAACCAGTATCTAAACTACATATACGATATGCGATAATCCGGTTTCATTAACACCACAATATTCGAACAATATGTAGCTTTTACAATTATAAGAAAATGAGTGATTAATATTTTTTAACTTATAAGTAGTTTTTACAATTATAAGTTTTTTATTACTTTTAAATAACTTAGTGTTTTTTTACTTATAAGTAACTTTTTACATTTTAAATAGTGTAATCTTTTTTTTTTTTAATATTTATTTTAAACTCTAAATATTTACTTAAAAATGTTGAAGTTAATATTTTTTTATCTATAAATAGCTTTTACAATTATAAGATTTTTTTATTAATTTTAAATAACTTAAAGTGATTTTGTACTTATAAATAACTTTTTACATTTTAGAAATAAAGAATAACTTTTATATAAAAAATTATTTAAAAAATATTATTACTAATGAAATTATAGGATATGGTAGTTGATAGTGTGAGAAAATGGAGAAAAAGTACTGTGTGTCAGATTCAAAGCATGTAAGTTGTAGGTAAAATAGAAAACGATATCGTTTTTAGAGACCAATTAAAAAAAGACTACAGTGTGATAAAATATTATTTAAAAATATATTACTACTAATAAAATAAGGAGGGAATATGAAAAAAATATTTTGTATTCAAAAGTTAAAACTAGTTTAGAAACAATTAACTCAATCAAGTGTGAAAATGAGGGTTACAAGAATGAATAGTAAATCCCAAAACGGTTTTTATAAGAGAAGGTAGGAAATATGCGACGTAATCACGACAGTCAGATTGACGAAAAGGATTTTAGAAGAAAAACAAAGTTGGAAGTTATGAACGGTCATTATATATTCAACTCTAATTAGGGTATGCAAAGAGGGTAAGACATTAGATTGATTGTCTTGGTTATCAAAACAATGACTTCAATAATTGTTCATCTCGAACTTCTACTCTCATAGGCTGTGATTTTCAGAACAAAAGTAAAGAGTTGAGTGGAGCTTGAATTGCAAATTATGTTCGAATTTTGAATTAGAATTATTCTTTGTTCACATAACCAAACTCGTATGGTGCATTTGCCGTCATTTTTGGACTCAAAATCAATGAAAATCCGTAAAAATTTTGTCAAATATTTCCTTTACTTGTAACATTCCTCTTTGAATTATGACGTAAACAGAAGTGTAAACAAGAGCAAACCTGATCTCAAATAATTATTTGCGCACGGAAAAAGCTTGTGATTTAGAGATTGAAGTTGAAGAAAAATCTCAGAATTTTTAATAGTATACTCAAAGTCAAAGAAAGAGCAAAAAAAAAGTATTTAAATAGTAAAGAAGTAGGGCAGAATCCTACAAGTAAAGGGGAGACTGAAACGTCTAATTCCTTTGGGGTGTGTGCCACCGTAAATATGTCTTTGCGAACACGCTTTTCGAGAAGAGAGGACGTTGTTTGTTTGATTTGAAATTAGTCAGTTCTATTTTTCTTAATAGGACAAAAAGTGGAAGAGGACTGGATTATTTTTCTTTTTTTTAAAAAAAAAAAAAAAGAATTTTGTTATCAATAAATATAATATTATACATATGTGTTTGTGAATATTTTTTTGCCCCAAGATATCAACTAAAGTAATGAGATCAACTTTATCAATGGAGATACTTGAAAAATCGATCAATTTCCACGTCATGTATTAAAGCCCCGTTTGGTAGGAATTTTTTGCCCCAAAAAATTAATTTTTTGACCGTTATTTTACTATTCAAGTCGTAATTTTTGACTTTTTCTCTCACATGTGGACCCCACTTTTTTTCTAACGGTCAAAAAATCAATTCTCAAAATCTCTACCAAACGGGGCCTAGGTATTAGACTATTAGTTAAACACGACTTTGTCAATTGAACGTAAATGAAACTCTCACCACTTCGGTATTTTATTTTGGCTATGAAACTTACCACAACAATATGCCAAGCTGTTCTTTCTTATTGCTTTTATAATAGTATAAGTTCTCTCATTAGTCTCAATTCTAAACATTCTAATACTAAATTATATGGAGAAAAAAAAAAAAAGTACCAAAACATTGATACAAAATCACATTGCATAAGAATAATTACTTGTGCATTCCACTTACAAAATCAACGAAAAGGGTAAATTTTACACATAAGAATGAGAATATATAGATATAGATATATGTGGTCCTAATATAACTTGTTGCAAATGTCTTTCTCCCTCACGTGAGCCAAAAGACGTTCCACCATACGGTCGAAGAAGAATCCAAGAAAATTTCATTTTCGAAATCGAAAAACATGATTTTGCTCCATTTATCAATCACACATTTCGTTTTCTAAATTTCATGGGCGACTTTTTACCCCAATTATAAAGCATGACGTTGAACTCTAATGGGTAAGCCTTTGGGAAAATCGACAAATGGAAATGCTAACGCTTCGTCCGTATCGGCTAACTCCCAACGGAAATTGAGGACTAGATAGTGTATGAATACAGCCATCTCCAGTTTGGCCAGCTCTGTCCCTGCGCAAAGTCGTGGTCCTCCACCAAATGGCATGAAGTTATTGCTAGCTGTTGTCGCATTTTGACTTCCGCGAGTATTATTCTGCACCCACAACGAGACTTTCTGTGGTTATTCAATGTGTTACCATAATTCCTAGAAAGGAGGCAAGTGACACCATTTTACTTAATTAAAGAACAAGCACATGATTATATTTCTCGATTATTCCGTCTAATTCTAATGATATCTACAAGTAAAACCCCACCTGGGAGAAAGACTTTGGAAAGAACTATTAGCTATTCTATTATGTTCAATATAGCATATAATTTATATTCCGTGGAGGTGAACCCCAATTTCAATAAAGAAATTCCTTTACTCGACATTTTCGATCAATGCAAGAGAGATGCTTCATCGAGATTTATTCAATAGGGAGCTATAATCTTTCTTATTGAGAAGTGACGACCATGTGATGTTCATTGTACATGATATTACCACTTTAAACCATTATATGTTGAAGATAATGTATGTGTCAAATATTATTAAATCTTCTATCTTAAATAATTGTTTGTTCATAATTACTTTGGGGATTGGTGGGTTAGCATCTCTTTCTATACCCCTTTTCCAATTAAAGCTTTTTATTTTAGAATTATAAAGTCTGGACAACTGTCATTTAGGTATTTAACAATCCAAGAATGCAATGGACAGCTTTACATACTCTCAGACCAGAATTGACCCAACTTCAAGAATAGTAAGTCATTGCTATTTTGAACTTGAGAGCCTCTTTTGGACTTCTTATCGTCTACTATGATATTTTGTACATTTCATGGCTATTCATACAAAAGTCTTATTAATTTACCCGACACTATACAATTCGACATAAAGTATATTTAACATGGTTTTAACCATAAAGACTAGAAAATTTTAATATGCGAGTGGTGGAAAGATTTTCATCTCAACTCACAAATATTTTAATCTGTACGGGCTAGCAAACATCTGTTGATTGATCAAGACAGTTCATAAAATGGGCCCAGTTGCCACTATTCATTTTTTTATAAGTTTATTTTAAGTATTTGACTAAAGTTTGATGTTCCATATGAATTTCTTGTACTCCTACATAGGATTCTTTGTAGTTTGTACTTGATATTCTATTCAATTTTTTAAGTCGTTGGAAAGTTTCTAGATTATATGACCAATTTAAAATCAACATCTTTGGTTACATTTACCTTAAGCTCCGTTTAATTGTAAAGATAAAATTAAATTATCTAGAAAATTAATTCCAGAAAATTAAATTGGCTAAAAATTATTTTACTGAAAATTGTAAATTATTGTGTTTGATTGGTATAATTTTTCACGTAAAAAATGTTGAAATAAAAGTGTTTTTGATATTCATTTGACTTTGTTTTACATGAAATGAAAATTATCAATTAAAGAAATAAAATTTACTGATATTAGAGATAAAATTCAATTCTAGGTAAAAAAAAAAAAAAAGGGTATCAAACAATGTTAAAATGGAAGATGGAATTGAAATTCCATTTTCCATGGAATTTCAATGGCTATCAAACACTACCTAAGAGTGGTCTTTACAAAGCCCTTGTTAAAAAATGTATTCTTTTAAAATTTATTTTCAACTACACATTCTTCTATAATTATACACGTATTTCAAAAAAAAATTCTTACTTTTTAACTATACATTCTTCAAAAAATTACTATTTCATAATGCATTTTATCCGAAAAATGGGAATCATATGCTAAGACATTATAATCTTTCTTATTGAGAAGTGACGACCATGTGATGTTCATTGTACATGATATTACCACTTTAAACCATTATATGTTGAAGATAATGTATGTGTCAAATATTATTAAATCTTCTATCTTAAATAATTGTTTGTTCATAATTACTTTGGGGATTGGTGGGTTAGCATCTCTTTCTATACCCCTTTTCCAATTAAAGCTTTTTATTTTAGAATTATAAAGTCTGGACAACTGTCATTTAGGTATTTAACAATCCAAGAATGCAATGAACAGCTTTACATACTATCAGACCAGAATTGACCCAACTTCAAGAATAGTAAGTCATTGCTATTTTGAACTTGAGAGCCTCTTTTGGACTTCTTATCGTCTACTATGATATTTTGTACATTTCATGGCTATTCATACAAAAGTCTTATTAATTTACCCACAATTCGACATAAAGTATATTTAACATGGTTTTAACCATAAAGACTAGAAAATTTTAATATGATATTAGAGTTCGATTTTCCTTTTTTGGGTTTGACGGAAGAAAGGTATAATATAATTCATTTATTGCATTACCCTAATTGAATATGAAAGAGAAAAACAGAAGATTGAGTCAAAGCAAAAATGTTGGGGTTTGAAGAGATAAAGGGACGAACCTGCAACCATCTCCATGGATTGAAGTGCCAAGGTTGGTCAAAAAGTGAAGGATCTAAATGCACGGCTGCAATCACTGGCAATACTTTCCATCCACATGGAATGTCATAACCTTTTTTATAATAAAAACAATAATAAATCATTTTAGTTAATTATTTTATGCTTTTGCCATATAAAATATTTATTTTACAAGTCAAGAATCATACCTTTATATCTTACATTTTTTATTGCTTTTCTGTGAAGAAATCTCACCACATTCCCAAGCCTTAATGTCTCACTAATAACCTGTCAATAAATTATGCTTATAAAATATTTAATTTCTGCTTAAAAGTAACTTATACTTGAAAAAAGTAAGTTGCTTTTAAGGATGGCTAAAAGTATTAAATTGAAGGGAAAGGTAGAAACATTACACATTGTGTAAATTCCATTTTTTTATAATCATCCCAGCTCAATTCTGTCTCCCCTAATTCCCTCTTTGCTTTAGATATTTCTATATGCTCTTCCTGAAGTCACATAAACGGGAAAAAGTACATAATTAATAACAGGATTGGAACTACACATAATCAAGCAAAGATCTGTTAATTATTTACTTCTAATTGCCGGACAGCAGTGGGACACCCTTGCAAGAAGTAAATGCACAAAGCTATTGCCACAGATGAGGTTTCATGGCCAGCAAATAATAAACTCAGCACCAAATCAAGAACTTGCTCCTTTGAAAGATTGGAATTCTTCAGAACCCATCCCAGTAATTCATTTTGATCATTATCTTCTGTCTTTTTCTTCACCCGTTCCTCCATTTTTTGCTCGATAAATTTAAGGATTATTGATCGAGACTGTACACAGAAAACGCGAAAGTAATCAAAATTTGACCAAATAATTAGTTTAAAATAAGTAATTTTACCTTTAGAGCCTTTCTATAAGCAGTTCCAGGAAGATTCAAAGGAGCAGAAACCACTCCTTTCATGAATGTTATGTACTCTTTTTTCAACTGCTCAGTCTCTGGTTTTCCAGGCTTCAAACTCATTATGTGTTCAGCCATCAAATTGAATGTAAACTGCAAAGAAAGGGGAAAAAAATCCATCAAAAGCTAAAATGAACAGTCGATTCAAAGATTGATACTCTCAAACGAGTCATTTTCCGTACCTTTTTGGCTTCATCCTGTGCAAAGATGATGGAATTCTCAATCCAGGAATCCAAAACCACCAAAGTGTGCTTTTCAACTTCCTTTAGAAGATGAGTTCTGAGCCTGGCATTGCTCAAGAAATTGAGAGAAATAGTCCTCATATCTCTATGCATGTCACCAACTAAAACAAGCATAGACCATTTCCCAAGAATTCCTCCAATGCTTCTGGGATAACTGCATTCAAACAATTTGCCTTCATTCTGTAGAATGAATCTATTCAGCCCTGCATCAGCCGATACTATGGTTGGCTCGCCAAATAAATGGGATTTGTAGATTTTTCCATATCTATAATCAGAATTCGAATGTCAGTTTTTGAATTTATATACTTTTTTGCAGGGTTTATGAGGATTAATGAATTATTTACCTGGAAATATGTTCCTCCATGAATTTTCCTATTGTAGTAGCAGTATATGGCCTCAAATAAGCAATGGTTTCACCAAGAAAAGGCCAACCCATGTTGCCTGGTGGAAGATTCAAAGAGCAATTTTGTTTTCTTCTATAGAGGTTAAGGATAATAAGAGCCAAACTTAGAAGAAAGAGAACAAACTCCAAGTCAGACATGGTGATTCTCTCTATATCTCTCTCTACTGGAATCAGATGTCTGCCTTTGTGAAGGTATGTATCTGAATCCTGATTAAAAGGAGCTTCTTATTTTTATTTTCTCAAGCTATTATGTTTACCTTAAGCAGGTGGCTCGTAGAGGAAAACATCATTTTAATTAAAGCCCTTTGGCCAATGAGCTGCTTTTATATATAGAGAGAGTAAATTTAACCAATAATCACCGAACTTTACACTTGATTACTACTTGCTCACTTATCTTTCACATATTACTGAATGCTCACTCATCTTTTCATATAATTACTCATTCACCACTCGTCTCTTCAAATAATTGGACTACTTTTACGACAAATTTTCGACAACTTCCGACGACAAAGAATGTCGAGTTTTGATACCGTTGGAAAGCCCACGATGTCCTCTTCAATTACCACCCAAAATCTCATTATAACTCCAAGGGATTCGATCGAAAAATTGCCTTAAAAGTCGTCCAAAAATTCTGAAAATCTGCCCAGATTTTCAAATTTTTTAGGCGACTTTTAAGGCAAATTTTCGGCAACTTTCGACCATCAAAACTATCTAATTTTGATACCATTGGAAAGCCCACAACGTCTTCTTCAATTACCACCCAAAATTTCCCAATAACTCCAAAGGATTCGGTCGGAATAAACCCACAAAGTCAGCATCTTGAAAAGGCGAAAATCTGGACAAAGTTCGGGATGCTGACTTTGTGGGTTTATTCCGACCGAATCCTTTGGAGTTATCGGAAAATTTTGGGTGGTAATTGAAGAGGACATTGTGGGCTTTCCAATGGTATCAAAATTAGATAGTTTTGATGGTCGAAAGTTGCCGAAAAATTGCCTTAAAAGTCGTCCAAAAAATCTGAAAATCTGGGCAGATTTTCAGAATTTTTGGGCGACTTTTAAGGCAATTTTTCTATCGAATCCCTTGGAGTTATAATGAGATTTTGGGTGGTAATTGAAAAGGACATCGTGGGCTTTCCAACGGTATCAAAATTCGACATTCTTTGTGGTCGGAAGTTGTCGAAAATTTGCCGTAAAAGTAGCCCAATTATTTGAAGAGACGAGTGGTGAATGAGTAATTATATGAAAAGATGAGTGAGCATTCAGTAATATGTGAAAGATGAGTGAGCAAGTAGTAATCAAGTGTAAAGTTCAGTGATTATTGGTTAAATTTACTCTATATAGAGACTTGAGTTTAGCACTATTATTTAGGCCATATTCTCTGTGTGTTTCGGTTTTGTAGTTTTGAGTTTTAAATTCATTTTGTGTTCTGTGTTTTCAGGGCCTGTTTTGAAATTGTTGAAAATTCGTTCTTTTTGTTATTTTGCAAAACTGTTTCATAAAACACAAAAATGAAAAACGTGTTTGCTTTGAAATTTTCAAGATAATTTTTTATAATATTTTGTTGAAAAAACCGACACAACACCACCACAAAGCCGACCAAAATCAATACCACCACAACGCCACCACCAGTCACCATTGCCAACCACTACCAAAATCAACACCAACACCAACACCACCACCCATCAACCACAACGCCACCACCAGTCACCATTGCCAACCACTGCCAAAATCAACACCACCACCACCAGTCACCACTACCAACCACTGCCAAAATCAACACCAACACCACCACCCATCAACCAAAATCAGCCACTGCCACCACCATTACCACCATGAACCATCAAAAATTGCCATTGTCGCTGCCACCACACAAGAAGAAAATTGACAGCATAGGGGGGATACGCAGAGAACAAAGAAGAAAGAAGAACCACATCAATTCAATTCATCAAACATATCATCACAGTGAAGATTAATTCAACAAATTCAGCTACCACATCACCATCGTCGACCATTACCACCACCATCAAACAAATCAACACCAACACCACCACTACCATCAACTGCCATCAGATAAAAAAAAAAAGAAAAAAAAACCCAACTGCGAAGAGTGAAAAGAGGACGAACTGCAGCCGACGTCGAAGAGCGCGCTGCTGCAACCTTCGCTTCCGCAAACCTTAACCATCGCCGAAGAAAGAGATAGAGACGAGCCCAGCCGGTAGCCTTGCGATGAATGGGTCACAGCGTGGGGAGGCGACGTCGTGACACCCCACGCTGACGTCGGCATCGACGCATATCCTTCGTCGCCTCCCCACGCCAGCGCCGACAAAAGAGAGGAGAAAGAGAAGGTGCAACAAAGAGAGAAGAGAGATGGAAGAGTCTAAAGAAAGTGCCGCCTGTTTTCCGCGTTTTCATTTCTTTTCTATTTTTGTGAAGAAAACGCCCAAAACGTCAAACTTAACGTTTTGGGTTTTCCTCAGAATTTTTTTTTTTTTTTGTTTTTGAAAACTCGTTTTTGAAAATGGAAAAAAGAACACATTTTCATTGTTTTCAAAAATCGAAAAAAGAAAACGACTTAAAAACGACAAAGAGAACAGCGCCTTAATAATCTAAATGTGAAGCCTAAATTGTCCGAGTCTTCAACTTATTTAATAAAATGTGAATTGAGATTTCTACGCATTATAGAAGCTATCAATATAGGCTTTATGGACTTTGAAATCACAAGCTATTTTCATGTTACTTCCGTTTTACATTTTGTTCGGTAGTGATTATGAGAATTGATTTTTTGACCATTAGAGATAAAAGTGGATCCCACCTGTAAAAGAAGAAGTCAGAAATGACGGATGATTTAAGAAAGTAACGGTTAAAAAAAATGAATTTCTAGGATGAAAATCAGAACCAAACATGCAGTAAGACTTGATTTGGTATTGGTGTAATTTTAAAAGAATCGAGTTTTGTTGTATAGAAGAAAAAATTAATCAAGTGTTTGGTGAACTTTTAATTTCAAAATTGTTGTATGTTTCAAAATCAGTATTTTAATGTTTGACAAATAAAAGTGATTTAATTGGACATTGATTATAATGACGCCCTTTTGCATTATTACTATTATTACCATTAATAGTAATTTAAATTTATTTTTACTTTTTAACAATATGAAATATTATCAAATATTTTTATAAACAATATAAGCACTATAGTATTTTAAAATGAAAATATAGTTATAGTAGCACCTTTTAAAAATCTCACAAAATTTATAAAATCATAAAATAAAGATATAATCCTTATAGTAGAAAACACATAAGTTCAAATTATTTTTTATACATCATATTTGCAGCAATATGATTTCTCAATTTATTTTTGGAAAATCAATAAAATCTAGTAGGAATTAATTTAATTGATTAGGGTTAAAATTGATTATATATTAATAATTGGATAAGCTAAATAGTAATTGTATTCAAAAACATATTTTGGTTGTACTTAAGGTCCTCAATCTTTATTTTCTCTAACACTTATCCCTCAACATTTGTCCTCTCTTTCTCTCTCTCTTAAATAATCCATCTTATCTCTGATAATAATTTATGTCCATAAAGTATGTTTGAAGAAAATTTATTCAAAATGCGAAAAATAATTTGTTTTGTTCAAAATACGCAACCACAATGTTTTGACGAAAATGATCATCAAATCTGAGATGTACTAATTAATGGATGGTTGGACATAAAAAATCAATGATAAAAATTAGGAAAATAAGTGCTACAATGTACAAATGTTGATGATGACATCATGATCAAGTACAACTAATATAATTTGTAGTGTAAACATAATTACCTTAAGCTAAATCATAATATGAGAATTACCATTTTGCAATTTTTTTTTTTTTTTTTTAATCTACTCAGATGGTTCAGATTCTTTCATAATAATTTTCAGAATAATCATATTCAGGCCACAGTTTTTGTATGATGCACCATTATTGAATTGTAATGAATGTTCCCAACTTTTAAAATTATTCACTTATGTCCTTAAACACATTTTTATCTTTAACCTTCAAATAATTAGCACACACTATCCTAGATAACAGTTTCCGTCCAAATATTGTTTTAGTTTGCTTTGAAATTAATGGAGATATATGGTCATATCTTTTACATTTTTATTTATTTAAAAATAAGAGAGACAAATAAGTTTTTTTTTTTTTGCCTTCTCAACCAATTTTTCTATGAAAATCGTCAATAGGAATATGATGTGCTAATTAATAAAAGGATGACGACAAGAATGAGATAAAAAATTGAGGACACAAGTACAACCATGAGCAAAAGTTGAAGTCCTTTATTGCAATTAAATTTGTGTTGCAACAAATAAAAATTGTAGTGTAAATATAATTATCCTAACTTTTTTAAAATTTACCAAAGACCTAGGGCTCGAGTTGATAATTTTGCCTTCTAGGATCGAGTTACGTGCAACTTTATTCAAATTCGCACTTTTAAATAGCTTGAGAACCTATAATTTCGCATTTGAAAGTTTAAAGCGCAGCACTACATTAGTTAAAAGGTTAAGTCGAGAATTAACCTTAAAGTGCTGGACAATATTAGAGATTATAAAAATTAAAAAGTTTGTTCATTTTATTGTTCAATTCTAGAGAAAAAGATTTCGGTTCAAGTTTTGTGATCATCCATTTCTATAAATTATACATGTTTTAAACTTTTTATTTAAAAATTAAAGAGTGTAAGTAAATTCACTATCGTCTCTATGTATGTTCTTCACCCAGGGGGAAACTAACTCCATTTAAGTTTCCAAGTTTCTTACCCCACATATGGTAAATAGGACCAGTTTTTTACTTTGATCTATGCTGCGAACTGTCACTTATTTGTCCCTGAAAAAGAAGAGTAAATTAGTTGCACGTGTACATAATAATGATTCAATGCACGAGGGGTCCCATTTATATTTGACAAATTTAGGCGTTATAAAATATTTTATTGTGTGAATGTGATTAAAAATGAGTATATAAATTTATTTTATTTTAAATAATGGTTGTCAAATGAATCATGTTAACAAGTACATTGAGTTGGACATTAAGTTTTACATTGTGCACGTGATGACATCACATTGAACAATTTTTGAAAAAAAACACGATTTCCCGCCAACTCCATTTTTTAAAACATTTGAAAATAATAGAGTGTCAAACTCCAGGTCAAGCAAACAATGTATAAGAAACTTTATTCTTGTCGTGGAATATGAACTTACTGAGTTGGGTGTAGACCCTACCCACATTGTCTATCCCTAACCATGCAGAACTCAACCCTTCGTAAATTACCT